TTGACAATTCTTTTCAACATTCCCCTTGCCAAATTCAGACTCCAGATTCACAATAATAAAACCCTTTGTATGTCTTTTGTACCTAGCCTATTTTGAGGGTTTTCTGGACAGCTTTGGGAAACACCAAATATTTGCTCCCTCGCGTTAGTAAGGAAGAATGCTAGAAAAATTAGCAACTCCAAATTTTTAATGAGCTCAATACTGCAGTGAGAGCTGCCCTTTTTGTACATCCCACAGTATGAGAAGAATTAACGAAACAGAAAGAGAATCTCAACTCCTTCTGGGTTAATTATGCACATGTAATTACAAAATGTCAATATAAATATGTTTCAGCTATTGTGTGACTCTCAATTTGGGTAGAAGCCTACTTTAGTTCACATGTTCAAAGACTGATATACTTGTCAACAAATTGATTTGTTTTTCCCCACAAGAAATATTTTGTTTCAAGGTTGAATACAACTTTTCAACAGAAGACAATCATAACATACATTATGGGATGAATTAGAGGGCCCTGAGGATTTTTCGAGGCTCTTATATTAATTTGGATGGGCCGCCATAACAAACTGAGTGGTATAAGTAAATAGAAATTCATTGTCTGGTGATTCTGGAGGCTAGAAGTCTGAGGTCATGGTGTTGGCAGTGTTGGTTCCTTCCGAGGGCTGGGAGGGAGGGTCTCCCTCGTGCCCCTTCCCCAGCCTCTGGCGGTTCGTTGGTGGTCTCTGGTGTTTCTCTGCTTCTGCCTTCACATGATGCTCTCCCCGTGTGTGTAGCTGTGTCCAAATTTTCCCTTTTTATAGGAATATCATTCATATTGAATTAGGGGCCTGTCCTGCTCCAGTATGACTGTATCTTAACTAATTACATCTTCGATGACCCTATTTCCAAATGAGGTCACATTTTAAGGTACTGCAGGTGAGGACTTCAATGCACGAATTTGGGGAGGTGGGGGATAAAATTCAACCTATAATAGCCCTCATGGGAAGAATATGTTCTTACTCTCAGTGTAATTTTTGACTAAATCCCTATAAAAATATTATGTATTATATCTCAACAATTACCTTCACCTTCACTCTGATATTGTGATTTTTACAATTTAACTTACTCTTTATCATCAAGAGGTAGTTTCTGCTTCTCCCTGGCACTTGATTAAATTGGTGCTTCTTAAGCTGTAAGGGACATTTCCTCATCTGGGGAATCTTGGTAAAATGCAGAGTTTGACTCAGTAGACCCAGAGTGGTGTCTGAGATTCTGCATTTCTGAGAAGCTCTGAGGTGATGATGATGATGGGGCGGTGGTGATGGTGATGATCTGAGAACCACACTATGAGAACAGGCCATGGACCAGAAATTAAGCCACCTGAAAATAAAACGTTAACAAACAAACAACAGCAAAGTTGCCCTAGCAAAAGATTATCCCTGGTTGGTACTCCCTGGTTGGAGAATAAAATCATGTGGACCGGTTTTTCATTATGAGCTGACATTATTGCCATGGACACCTGTCGGAATGTACAGAGAGACAAATTCAGGGTTTCCCGTTTCTTTTAGCCTTGTTGCAAATGACTTGGTGAAAGAAGACTCATTAACCAATGATCAGCAGGAGAAGAATTAATTGCCCAGGACTTAATAAACTGATTTAATTATGGTTAATGTTCTACTTTCTAATAGCGTATGAGAAGACCATTTCTTTCTTGTCTATATCTAACTCTCAACTTAGGCTATACTTAAACTAAGTGGAATGAAACACTCTTTAAATGGTATATTATTCTGACTGACACCTCCGAATTAAAAAAAAATCCTATAAAAGATCCTAAATAAGTTATAAACTAATATAACAAAAAGTTTTTGTAAAAATAATATTTCCTGCTACCCCATGACACTTCTATGCAAACTGCAGCTGGACTATTTTATGCTTATTGTCTCAGAGAGGGGGTGGTGTCATCATAAAAAGATACTGACAATAGACAAATTCTTGGCTTTTAAGTTTCGAAAGCCAAGTTCAAGGTTTAGCAATTATTTGGAAGAGTTAGAAAAAAAATTCAGAGTCCTGGTCCAGATCTGAGTGCAAAGAGACAGTGTGCCTCGCCCTCCTCACCCTCCGCCCTAACCCTAAGGCAAAATCCCAGAACTAATAAGGGTCTAGATACTCCTGAAGCCATCAGGGTGCAGGATCAGAAGAAATGGCCACGTGGACTGTCTAAGCAAAAGATGCAAGGTGGTCTCACAGGTTCCCGTCATCTCCACAGTGTGGAACTCAACAGGTGGGTTTCTCTCACTTCAGATGGGAAGAATAGGCAACTTCCTGGGTGGTTAAGAGGAGATTAAAATTCTCTATGAATGAGAACCATGAGAACCTGGAATGAGAGTTACCCATGAACAATCTACATAAATGGAGGACAGATGACTGAAGACCAGAAAGGTCAAAGTATATCTCAGGCAGATGGCAAGAGAGGACCAGGTGCCTCATGTCTCCAAGCTTCGCTGCTCCCTCTCCAGCACGTGTCCCAGGAGAAGCAGCTTAAGTTTCTTCACAGATCGAATTCAACTATGAATCATAAAAGAAGCTATTACTCCCACTGATTTCATAGAGATTAATAGTCAACTAATGTAATCAGTTTTCCCTTTACATTTTGCACTGATCTTACAATATCTAACAATATGTTCTACATATCATATATATTCTGTAATGATTTGATACAATGTATTCACCTGGTGCTATGTTTGTACAACTCTCTGAGGACATTGCTCTCTCTTCACATCCCCCAGTAGTTGTCACTAGCCACACGTGGCTGGCTGTTGAGGACATGCAATGTGGCTAGTCTGAATTAAGATGAACTGTCAGTATAATATACACATGAGATTTTGAGGATTTAGCATAATAACAAGAAAGTAAAAATATCACACTAATATGTCTATAATATTTAGGCATTGATAGCGTTTTGGACATATTGAGTTAAATAAAAATATATTATTAAACTGAATTCCACCTGTTTATTTTTACTTTTTAAAAATGTGCCTACTAGGAAATCAAAAATTTCTTATGTTACTAACATTATATTGAAGTAATTAAGTCCAAGCCATTAATACCTCTGATATTTTCTTTAAAATGCTTGGCGACTAAACAGATATAATTGAGAAATTTTCACAAGTGAACTAGGAATTAAAACAATAGGAAAAGTATTCTGAGTTTTCAACTTTTATTAGATTTATCATTAATTCATAATTTAAAGTATAAGGGTACTACAGGGACAGTGCATTAATCAATTAATACAGCACCTGAGATTTAAGTCCTGAAGTAGGCCATTAAGAAAGAAACTCTGACCTTTATTTAGGTCAGCTTCAACTGGGTGTCTCATAGTCTTTTCAAAATAGTATGTCCACAAGAGTATCCAGCATTTATTGCATGATATCCAGACAAAGTCTGGATTAAATTAAGATAGAAAGTTTACAAGAAGCTAATTTAAATATGATTAGAAGAGGCTCACACAGATAGTTATGGTCATTTTTTAAAAATCTGAAAAATCTATACTAGTATCCATGGTCTCGTACTAACATCAAGACATAGTTGGCGACTTCTGCAACTTGCAGTGTACTCTGTTTAAAATTTAACTTGCTTTTACATCAATAATTTACAAGCTTACCCTCACTGAGTTCTTCCTATGGGTTAGGAACTTTGTGCTCTTATTGAAGACTTACAAGAACCCTATATGATGAGGAAATTAAGGCTTATAGAGGTCAAACGATTTGCACAAGTCCTCATAGATCGTAAGTGATGAAGCAGAGTTTCCAACCTAGATAGCCTAGCTTCAGAACATGTGCACCTCGCTGCACAGCAATACTGAATACAAATTATTCTTAAACTCCAGGCAGAGGCTAAAAGGCCATGAGCTAGGTGCTGCTAAGTCTGATGTTTGGTGTGCTAGGAGTGAGGAAGGGGCAAGAAGATATGTCTTGAAGAAGCTGGAGAAGAGGAGAGGTGAAAGTAGCTAAAAATAGGATCCTTTATTTCTATTCTCTTGCTTCTTTAAAAAACACTGTTAAATTAAGCATGCATTCTGCTAGATACTGGGGATAGAAATGTGATGGAGACTATTTCGGTTTAGTGGGGAAGACAGGTAAATACATTATAATGAATTTTACAAGTTAAGATAGACTGGTGTGCAAGGTTTACATTAGGAATATTATAGAATTCATTCATTCATTTCATTTCTTCAGAGAGCATTTCTCAAGTCTTCACTACATTGTAGAAGAAGTATCGTAAGTGCTTCTGGAGCAGCAATTCAAGTAGCAAGAATGGAGCTACAAGAACAGGGAAAGATTACATCCCCTGCAGTGTTCGCACAACGCCAACTGCATAGTCTGCCGTTACCTGAGCAAAAAGTTAAGGTTGACAACAGGAGCAGCCTCTAGAGAGGATGCAATGGACAGGCTGAAAAGACTTGGACTTTTTACTAGGACAACCCAAATTGCTTTTGGTGGAATTGCAAGTGGACACATTTTCCCGCAGCATCAGTTTTATTAAAATAATCTGGAGACAAAAATCCCAAACTTTTTATTATTAAAATATAGATGTATTATGTAGTTGATGCCATAACATATGAATAAGGTATGACAGGAAAGGAAATTCCACAGCTGGTCAGGCAGATGACTTCGGCTTTCTCCCCAGAAGACTCTGGGACAGGAGTTCATGGTCCTCAGCTCTCAGATGATCTAGGCAAGATAGGTGAACAGTGAGTATTTTAAGTGTGCGAAATAAGTGTAAGAGTTAAGTACACAGACTGGGGCGAGGCCGCGGCGCAGGGCACTAGGAGCCTGTGCTCGAGCGCCTCTCTCTGCTCCCTGGACTTCTCCTTCCAAAGGCAACCACCACGAGAGGCCCTTTTAGACACCAGACAGCGCCTCTAGCGCAGGAGCTGCGCCTTTAAAGCCCGGCGCCTCGTTGCCACGGCAACCCTCCTCCGCAGGCTCCTCCTATTGGCTGAGAGGACGTAGCTTGCGTCTGTCGTCAAAGAGCGGCGCCGCCAGATCCGGGGACCCCGCGAAGCCTCATTTTTCTGAGTCTTGACTGCAGGCAGTGGGATCCACGGCTGCTGGGCGAGGGGGCGCCGGTCATAAACCCCACCTGGGGTGGCGGCTGGTGTGCGGATCGCGGCAGGAGAGGGGCGCGGTAGGAACGGGCCTCCGGAGCCGTGGGCCGCGGGTACAGGGATCCTTCAGTGCCGCCCGCGCGCTTTCGGCCAAGCAGCTTTCTCCCTGGCTTGTTACTAGGGCCGCCGGACTCCGTTGCTAAGGACCCTGGAGATGCTGTGAGCCAAGAGCGCGCCCTTTATTTTCTTGTGTCGGGGTTTGGCCCACAGTAGCCTTCGTTCGCCTTAATTGAAAAACCGGCCGTACCTCCCCCACGCCCTTTTTAAATCTCTGTTTTCCTCCACCTTTTCCCCTTACGTGTCCTCATTTTCCAACTTTGAAAACACCCTGGCCCTGAACTGGTCTTAGGTATTCAGACATGTATGGGGAAGACTAGGAAATTGGAAAGCAGATTTGAAGATCCTTAATATGCGCCCTTTGGATTTACTTTGTGGTAAAAGGGGATCGAAATAGCTGTGTATTGTGCTCTGTCGCTCTACTTTGGAATTTGAAGGAACTTTAGAGATGCAACTTTCTAAACACTGGATTAGAAAATAGGAAATAATGGAGTGTTGGCCCCTGAGAATTTAGCAAGCAGTTTCGTGCAGTGGTCTCAAAGCAGGGTATGAAAGTAAGTGCATATAGAGAAAAAGATAGGATTTATGAGGTATACAAAACAAAGAAATGTAATGCTTTCCTAGCATTGACACAAATGCCTACAGCCCCTTGTAGGTTGCCCGCAGCAACTAAGGAAACCTTAGGCCCTCCTTGTTTGCTCTGTGATATCGATACATAATTTAGGTGTTTGGGTTAAGTGGATTTGTGGTTGTTAGTGTCTGTTTAGAATCATGTTTTGTAAAAGAATGAAGGGTGACCATGTAATATTTAAAACAAAATAATTCTTCATTTTTTTTTACTTTCTTCCAACATTACCCTTATATACCACCCTCTATGTGTTATTTAATGAAAAAAAAAAACACTCAAAAGGGTGGTTGAACATAAGATGAGTTTAGCATTTTTCTTTTACAAACAACTCATGGGCCAGGTTTGTCGTCAGTTTGTTAACTATTAAAAATAGTTAGATAACTATTTTTAAAAATTGAGGACACATAATTTGTCTTTAAGGTAAAGGGTGATAACTTTAAACAACAAGTAAAAAAGTAGTAGTTTTGGAAAGATACTAATATAGGATGTTTTGAAAATGGACATAGAAATGTTTGCATTTGTGTATGTATGCGTGTTTTGATGTTGCTGAAAATTACATGAGTATATTACACACAAAAACTGTCCTGTATACTTAAAACCTTTGGAAGCTCAATTTCCTAGCATGTTTAAAGGTCAAATGGCGAGGTTCAGTGGCTTTTTGAACTCATTCATGAGGTGGCACCTTCCTATTAGTGCCTTACAGGCACAACTTTTTGACATAAATGTAGAAATTTAGTTCCAATAAAAACTTGTGTACAATTTGTAAATATTGTTGAAAAAATATGTGTCATGATTTAATGTGGCAAACTATGCACTTTTTATGTTTGTGAGTAGGCATCTTTGTGATGTATCTTTTTCAGTTATGTCAGCTGTTAACAATTTATGATCAAAAGAAACTGAACTTAAACTGGATCTTCAAAGTGGTGTAGCCCAAGGTCGTCTTAAAACCAGATTTCTCAAAAAAAAAAAAAAAAAAGAAAAGAAAAGAAAAATATTTAGTCACCCTGACCGTGTTCTTATTAGTGACACTTAAAACCATTTTGTGCCATTATAAAGGGCTAAAACTCATATAGCATTTATTGTGTGCCAAGCACTTTTAAATGTTTTATTGGTCTTCATGTACATTTAGAGTAGTTACTGTAGTTATCCCCAATTATAGAGTTGAAAATGCACAGATTTTTTTTTTTTTTAATAGAAACCTAGCTTGTATTGATCCCCATCAGGAGCTTCTCAAAACAGAGGCCAGGTATAACAGTAAACACTTGTTAAATCACGAGGTGCAATATTATGTCAACATATTTAAAGCTTGCCTTAGCTTATCTTAGGGTATTATCTGACATTTAATGAAATATGAATGACCGTATTTCTAGAAAATGCTTTGAGAATGAATGTGAATTGTGATATTGGGAAGTAAGTCATCTGTTGGTCATAGGATGAGAAAGTTAGGTCATTCTATTAAATGAAGAAAATTGACATTTAAAATTCTTCTGTGTACAGAAACAATCTTACATTTAGTTTATCTTTACAAGGTACTCTGAATTGGGCACATCGTGTTTGAACTATTTTCAGGCTCAGTGTTATTACGAAGAATTTTGTCCTTGTGAAGATTTCTAATTTGTCAAGTAAATTAAAATAATCTCACATGACGAATCCTTCAAGAAAGTATCAGCGTTTATCCTGAAGAAGAGAAAGATAAGGATTTGGTAGTCATTGTTCTCAAATATTTGAAAAGCTCATTTAGAAGTGGAAAAGAACTTTACCTGTGTTGCCTTATGGGAAGATCTTAGAACATAGTTGAGGAATAGACATGTATATAATGACTATATTAAAAGTATAAAGTGGGAACTTAATGGAAGAATAACAGGGATGTCATGCAAGTGAGGGAGGGAGTAATGAAGTCAAAATAAGAAGGAAGCAGTGCAGAAGTTAGAGCGCCATGGAAATGAACATTTTAGAAACAAGATGAGGAAAGGCTGCATGAACTTGGGATTGGAGCTAGGCCTAGAAATACCTGCAGGCAGTGGCATATATGTTTGGTTGTGTGTGGTGGAGGGTTCCTTGGTAGATATATAAGTTTAGAAATAATTGATTAGGTAGGAAATCATGGACTATGAACTAGAGGCCTTTCATCAGTAGAAAAGATGGAAATGTGGAAGAAGGAGCAACTTGGCATATGATCATATTTATTCAATAACAGCCTCGATAGGCTCATTGTATCTCCTTCTTTCAACAGATTAGGAAATCAAAACTTAGGGGGGTTAAATAATCTGCCTGAATTCATAAACCTCATCATTGGTAGAGCTAAGACGCAGACCCGGATCTGAGCACACAGCCCTTTCTACCTCTCACACCACACTGACCACACTGTAGGACTGAGTGTAGGAAGTGAAGGAAAAGGAAACAGTGACCTAAGTTTTTCAGCCTGCTTGACCAGAAAACTGGGGGCACCTTGAATTAAGGGGTTCATAACTTCAGTGTGATAACCTCCATTTTGGTTATGTTCTGTTCAAGGAGCTTGTGGTACATTGAGCAGGAGAATTCATTATGTCACTGGGAAGTAGGACTTTTATATGCAGACTCTGACATTTGGAACTTTGGAAATATAGAGGCCAGAGAAGATGGAGATGATAGGGGATGTGCCAGCCACTCTTTCAGAAAGCTGGTCCATGTTTTCTGAGTATAGCCAGAGGATTGCCATTGAGTGTCTGTCAGTGTATTTGATAATTTGAATGGTTTTTTTTTATACATCTTATTTTCTTATAGCTGGTTTTTAATTTGCTATCATCGATATTTTGAAATTGATAGAGTTTTATATTTTCTCATTAGTCTTTTCACGTGTTTTGCTCCATACCATCCCTTTTTTGTGTGTCTTTTACTGCATTTTCTACTCTTTTCTGTTTCGGTCTTTATATGGTTAATGAATTTCCCACCCCCCAAATTTTTTGAAATCCAGTTTTATTTAACCGCAGGAGTAAAAGGGAAGCAATGCAGAAACCAGAGTGCCATGGAGATGCACAGCTGAGAAACAGAGTGACAGGTACAGAATATTTCTCTTTAAATGAGGAGGTGAATTTTGTTAATGGTACATTCTGTTATACAGATGAATGCAGGTTGAACTTTATTGTTTTCAAATTTATTGATTATCTGTTTTTTTTTCCAGGTAACTGTGATCAAAGGACATCATCAAGTGCACAAATAAAACATGGGACTACAGTTCAGCGAAGTAAATCCTCGTCATCAACTAGTTCTCCAGAGTTTGCAAGAAAAGTTCATCCTCGACCAAGTGATAAACTTAACCCTAAAACAATTAACCCAGTAGGTACAAAAGATATTCCTGACTCAGATTTTTCAAAGTAATATGCACGTAACATACTACTGGATTTCTTAAGCAAGGATCCAATAAACTATCTGAGGGCAGAAGGAGATTGTCTGACTTAGGAAAAAAAAAAACAAAAAATAGTCTGAGTATCTATGATCCTTTGCCTCTTTTTATAATCTATACAATGTTAAGGAAATTGAAATCCTGAAGAATGCCCTGACATCTTTCTGCTGTTACTTCCTTTTCCCATATTTAATTGAGAGAGTTTGTAGCCCTGATTTGTCTTAATTTTTTCCTCAATATGAACAACACATTTTCAATTTATTTCCTTGTCTGATATGATTTTTACTTGAAAGCAATTTTTAAAACATGTTTTTCTTAGCAGGAATTATAACTAGATAAGTGAAATATTACTGTGCTGTGCATTACTATGCACAACATGGATTGATCTCAAATGAATCTTGTAGTATTTTAATGAAATTTCATGTATGTGTTTTTACTCAAAATGTGTTTTTCCAGAGGAAAGGGCTAATTCTAAACTTGTATTCTTAAGTATATTTTTAAATTACTGCTTGCGATTAAAAAATTTATCATTATATATAGTAACTATTTATATTGTAATTTAGACAACTATGTTTCATTTGATTATATTCAAAGTACCATATTGTAAAATATTTACTTCTTGTGCCTTTAAGTCTCTGATCAATTATATTGAAATTACTCTGATTGTTTAACTGTCACGTGTTGTGATTGATCATCTCTTAAATTGTCTTTAAGAGTAGATCCACAATTAATCTATTCTTAAGATAATAATATATAGCAAAACTGAAAGCTGTGGAGTTATATATCTAAGCAGACACATCTGGGCATCTGTGAGAGTCTTGCTCGGTGTCCAGCTCTGTCATTCCTGCCCAACCAGAGTCTTTGATTTTACAGAAGCTTAAAGTCAGTTTGGAGAAATTACAGGTTCTTTGACTATCTAGGCTGGAGGACAAATAGGAAATGTGCTGAAGGCTGAAAACAAATATACTCTCCTTTATACCTCTATTCAGCTCTCACTTTGGAAGGGCACAGTTTGGGAGGGAATGGAAAGATGGGTTATCTTTATAATATTTATATTTATTATATTCCTGATTTCAGCTACCTTCAAACATTTGAAACAAGTTAGGGGTGAAAGGAAATATACAAAGTGTGGTCATGGTTGTGGTTTTAGTTCTGAGAGGCCCGATGATTTTTCTGAATTCCTCAGTATAATGATGATGCACTGGATACCCTCACGGTGGCTTGAAAGTCACCATTTGCCTCTGACCTGAGCTGGATTAAAACTGATGAGATATCACAGTGTAGGTGATAGTCATATTTATTGTGTTCTTGTCATTTTTATTTCAGTTTGGTGAGCAGTCCCGAGCCCCTTCTGCATTCGCAGCTATTTACTCTAAAGGAGGTATTCCTTGCAGGTAAAATCAATGCAAGTTTTAACTGAGCATGTCATTCAAAATAATTGAGTAAAATCAATACAATATTCAGTTTAAATGTATGGAAAGTTTTATTTATGAGGGAGGTTGAAATAATGGTGAGTTATAGTTTGGCTGTTGGATTGGTATAGATCCTGGGACATTGTTGAAGAAAATATTTTAAATCCAAAATAGAATTACCAATAGATCTGAAGTAAACCACCAAATAATTTAAGAAATGGATCGAACTAGTTTCTAAAACAATTTCAGCATTCACTGGCTTGGGCAAGTTGCAAATAATCCTTTTTCGTTTGTAAACAGAAAGTTGACAATTTATTGAAATTGTTCATTATTTTTAAAAATATATTTCAAAACTTAAATTTTAAAAATTTCAGTTATATTTATTGAAATTATATTTCTTAATGACTATATATGTCTGTTTTTGCTTACTTTTGATGTAATTCTTGCTACCTTTCTGGACAGACATCACGACTATTTTAAAGAAAATAACATAGGCTACTAATAGTAATATTTTAATATTTCACTGTTGAGAATCATTTATTTCTTCTAAGTACATCCAGTTTTAGCCTATTCTAGATGCTAGAAAATTTCACTATCATTGTGGAAAGAATAGTCACAGCATCCTTTTTGTTATTTTTTTTTAATTTAATAAATGTTTCTTGTGGTATTTTCAGATTTGGAGGGCTATGAGTGAAAAATAAGCACAAGAAGCACTCTTCAATTTATTGTTATTATTTCCTATTTATGTTCTGAATTGAAACCCTATTTTAAGGTTCTTATACCCCTTCCCCACTCAGAGCAATTTATTGTTGCTAAAAATGTAAAAAAAAAAAAAAAAAAAAATGTTACTGAGGCCTCTAGCTATTATGAAAATAACACTAATGACAGAATCAAGAAGTTGAGAACATTAAAAAAAAGGGAAGAAACATGTGGGGATGATAACGAAGTTCATTGTCATGATTGCTGTGATGGTTCAGTGGATGTACTCGTACACTAGAACTTACCAGATGACATACTTATATATGCGCAGTTTATTACATGTCAGTTAATACCTCAGTAGAGGCTGTTAAAAAAAAAAAAAAAGCAGCAGCAGTTGCTTTAATTCAAGGGGCTACCACTTTGTTACCTTACATGTGCCATGTCACCTTCCTGGCCTCAATTTTCTTCTCTTTAACAGGGATAAAACCTGGCTTGACTTTACATCATTTATGTTAGGGTTTGATGATCTATCCGAGAAACATTGTTCCTTATAAAACAAATTGTTTCTAATGATCACATTTTGTTTGGCATTTTTACTTTTCTTTAGATTACTTATTTTATTATAATTATTATTTAAACATATCAACTGTAACATTTGCATTAAGACTCACAGATGGCAACATGCTTAAACTCCCAAACTGTAGGCTTAGCAAGTGCGGGGTTGTTTAGTTTTGCCACCAGTACAGTTTTGCTGAAAGAGTAGGAATTTGTAGGATTATAGACACTGCTTTATAAGATGTCTTTGTATGTATTTTGAAGTCATGGGTTTCCTACATGTTACAAAATCTAATATGGTTATGGTCTAGAAAAAGTATGTATATGTTAGATAATCTCTGCTTAGTATATACTTATGTTATCCTTGTTACATTCACTGATTTTTATGTTTTAGATTAGTCCATGGTTCAGTGAAACACAGATTACAGTGGGAAAGTCCTCCTGAAAATCTTCCATTCGACCCTCTTCTTATTACTTTAGCTGAGGTAAATAAATACTCCATCTCTCCTGAGTTTATGGAAAAAAAATTAAAATTTCATTAAATGTTATTTTGTAATTCATCAGTAAATCTCATTCTTTACCCACAATTTCTTGGTTTAATTGAAATTGTAATTACTGAAATTGTATATCATGATTAGGAAAACGATAATAAAACTTAATTTTCACTTGGACTAATAAAAATTCAATTTTTTTGTCATTAGCATAATAAGTGGGTAGTATTATCATGTGCGATTTTTTGTTTTGTTTTGTTCTGATTTTTGGTCTTTGGCAGGGTCTGAGAGAGACTAAGCATCCATACACCTTCGTGTCAAAAGAAGGTTTTAGAGAATTGCTTTTGGTCCAAGGTGCTCCTGAAAAAGCTGTGCCTTTGCTTCCTAGACTGATTCCTGTTCTAAAGGCAGCTCTGGTATGTCCTTTATTCCTTTGGACTTACTGTAGTATATTTAGGATATTTTATGTCTTACTTCCAAATTACAAGCAGATTAGTCCTTTACTTGTGATTTTGATGTGTGCGTAGAGTTGGGCCACTGTTATTCAGGGCCAGATGATTACTTACTCAAAGGCACCTTTACTAAAGGTAAAATGGAACATTTTGAGTGATTAGAGAAAGTAATGAATCCCAAGCAGTATTTCTGCATGTTGTGCTACATTTTAGTTAATGTCTAGGTCAGGCTGACCATTGTTTTTTTGCTTCTGTATGTCCTGCATTAAAGGCTATTTTTTAAATTCTAGATTTGGTTGATTATCCTCTAATTTTGAATGTTAAATCTTACTTTTTTTCTCCACTGGCTTGCCCTTTCTCCTAACCCATCTTTCCTTTCCTTTTCCCCTCTTTCCCCCCCTATCCCTACTCCCCGGACCCGCCAATGCTCCACAGGTCCATTCGGATGATGAGGTGTTTGAAAGAGGATTGAATGCTCTGGTACAGTTAAGTGTTGTTGTCGGTCCTTCTCTAAACGACCATCTGAAACATCTGCTTACAAGTGTGAGTACTGAAAAGATTAGAGAGTGGTTGTGTATATGTATCATGCATTATCCATATCTCTTCATGGTTTAATAACTTCAGATTAATCATTGAGATGATTCAAAAACTTAAAACGAATCTCATTACCCTAACCAAAATGTAGAGATCAGACTTTGTAGTTCATAAAATATTTTATTAATGGACAGTTTGCTCTTTAGATTTTTTTTAATGGAAAGTACTCATATGAGCAGAATTTAGGGTTGTTATAAAAAGTAAGCAGAGTCGAATGGGCAGAAATTAATGAACAATGTAACGGTATCGTGCCCATGTGGATTAGCTGTGAATTATAAGCAGAGCTTATACACCCTCTTGTGTAGTCATGTCTTTCATCTTTTTCTTTGTTTTTCATTGTAAGTTTTTTAGTTCTATAAATAGCATTCAGGCTGGGAGTTGTTTTTCCTGTTACTTATAGTTTAATTTTTATCACAAATGTATACTGGGACACCGTGTAGTTAAGGAAGCCCCCAAGACAGCCTTTAGGTTCGGCAATTTGCTACAAGGACTTGGAGAACTCAGAAAAGCTGTTATCCACTGTTAGGGTTACTACCTGCAGTGAAACGACATAGGTTAAACTCAGCAAGGGGAGGAGGTGCACAGAGCAGGGGCCAGCAGAAACCAGGTGAGTACTGCAGATGTTTGGTGGGGGGACAAAGTTGCAGGTTGTGCTCAATGACCTGAACTGCATGTTTCTGTCTTCGCCCCTGTGATTCTGTCCTTATGCACCTTGTCCCCTCCCCCTTCGCAGTCAGAGTTCCACCATCTTCCAGCGGAGGCCCCTTTAGGACATATCGGGCTCGGGGTCTTGGGGTTCATAGTCTGATTCTTCTGTCACAGTTACTGAATTATTCATGTAAACGCACTCCTCTTTGGTGTCTCTTCCCATTTTAACTATAGGAAACGTGTTTTAGAGGCTTAGCTTTTCATCATAAGTCCCCCAAATGCTCTTGCAAATTACAAAATGGAAAAGTATGCGATTTCATAGAAAACTTACTCTGGATACCACACTGTAGCAGATTTTTTAGGATTGGTATAATTTAAAATAATGTAAATTCATTGATCTTTTTAAAACAGAGTGGTATCTATTATATGTACATTTCTGCGACATATTTCCTAAGAGAAGCCTTGAAATCTAAAACAAATTTAGTGGCGTTCATGTACCTACTATGAGAAAAGAGTCAATGACATTATTTCTGGATACCTAATTTTTAGCTTATGGTGAATATTCAAATCATTTCACTCTCCCAATTTTATTTTAAAAGCTTTCCAAGAGACTAAGAGATAGAAGATTTAAAGAGCCCGTCACCAGTGCATTACAGAAGCTGGAGCTGCATGGTGGGAGCGTAAGTATGGCTTATTCTTTAAGTCGTTTCTTATTTTCAGTCATATTACAAAATTGACTATATAACATATATTATCTAATTTCAGCCACAAGTAACCACGTGGAGTTGATATTATTTTTGTTTAAGAGCTCAGAGTTTCTGTCTTGCCCAGGTCATCCCATTTTTAAGCACTGGGATTCAGACCCAGGTTGTATAAATACAGAGCCTGTCACTTCTGCTGTGCGAAATAACTACACAGCACTCTGTGCGGTGCAGCTTTCCATTGTTTTTTCTTCTTTATTTTGGATGTTTTTGCTTTGACCAGTGGAACGTTCAGAAAACAGAAGGACTAATATAGAGGGCTCATGAAGACAGTACCTTTTTCTCCCTTTCATTTGTCATTTCTATCTAAAAAAAATTATCATTTGCCCATAATCAGTGATCGAAACGAGATTTCCAGATGTCAGCAATATTATGTCTGGAAGAATGTGTGTGCTCGAATATGAGCATGCACACACAGGAATGATTCAGCCGATTATTTACACTTGCAAGAATGTTCAAGAACAATGAGCATGAAGATGCAAGAATGTAGGGGATATCATCATCATTGTGTGGTGTCAAACCATCAGGTCGAGTTTTCATCTTTTGAAGTGTTCAGATAATCTAATCTTGGAAATATCTCCATGAAGCATTGAACCTTTCTTGTTTTGGAGATTACGTTTAATCACATCTGAATGATGGAGTTGCATTTTAACACTGCAGAACTTAGTTTTATTCTGGGTACTTTCTAAAGGACTTAAATCATAAAGAAAATTTGTGTGATTGTATACAGTTTTAAAATGGCAGACGTTTTAGTTTGAACTTTACCTAAGTTACCTAATTTGACCAATTTCAGTGACTTTTTAAATTGATGATATTCTTTCCAAATGATGAATGCCTAGAATAAAGTTTATGAGGAGGAAGTAAGTCCCAAGGTTACTAGATAATAGATTTCTTTGTTGTGTGTGGGTCCTGGGAAGAGGATTAGCACTCAGACACCTTGTGGTGATGCACAAAGCTATCCCCTAGCCAACCCAGTCCCTCTTCAGCGAAAGAGAAATTCTTGCTTTCAGATATGCTTGCTGTTGAATTGGAGTGCAAAATGAATTTGTGTCCCCTTCCCTCTTCCCCAGTGAAATACAAGTAAACAGGTGCTAAATAATGATGGCACAGCTTTTCTACCTGAAACCCTTCTCAGGTGGTTTCCACGCATCTTGTGGACTGTTGTAGGGAATGGGGAAAGTCGAAAGGGGCAGGCCCTGCGTGTTAGAGTTCATGGGTACGTGTGTTCAGAGTTGGGGACAGCTTGTACAAAAAGTTTAAAAATAGCACACTAAGACTTGTAGGGGGAATACTGAGGTGTAGTTAACCAGTCCAAGGACGCAGAGATAAGGGAGTTCCTCTCTTGCTACTCAATCTCATTAGTTTTGAACCATACTAATACAGAATTTAAAAAAAGATTTTTAAGTTATAAGGGCTAATAAGTATTATTTATTCCTTCAGGTTTTTTTTCTCTTCTTCTCACTATTTCAGTTCCTCATTTCTTTGGGCTTGTATCATACTGATGGAAAGACTCAACTTCTGGGAAAACAAAAATGTCAGTTACAGACGGTCACAGTGTTGTTTTCTTAATAACTAATCAATTTACAACCTGCCTTAAGTTGAAATTGGTTCATTCTGAATTTCATTTAATATTTTTTCTAAGCGATGTGCACATTTGCCTTGGGAAAGGTACATACTTACACCTGATCTTCATAGAGCGTGCGGGAACTTATTACTTGCCAAGTATTCTGTTGAGTACTTTTTAGACATAAACTCATTTAATCTTTACTGCAACCCTCAGAAGAATGTTGTTATCTCCCTTTAAAGATTTAGAAACCGAGGTGCAGAGAGGTAATTACCCCCACATTGGACAGAAAAGTGACTGGCAGAAGTCAGATCCAAATACTTGTTGTCCAGTCCTTAACTACTTCTGTATTAAATATTTTTACAAAACAGTAAGATACAACCTTTATTTTATTTAACTCATAAGAAAGTTTCACTTTCTATTTTATCATTCCCTTATCCCTTTTTGTTTGTTTTGAGTTTGGATACTGTTTTAGATAAGCTCCTGCAAGTGTAACACCTGTTAGGGGAACCCTGCAAGATACTAATGAGACCGCGTTTTTTTTTGTTGACAGGGAAGCCTTCTCATCATCAAATCTAAAATTCCAACATATTGCTCCATATGTTGTTGAAGAAAGGAGCCAACAGAAATCTCACTAGCTGGTGACAAGTGTTAAGTGCTGACCATAGTACCCTACGGAGCCTTTTCAGATTCACTTTAGTTTATTACTTTATGAATCACAGCCACCATTCATTGTTTACTAGTTTAAGATGAATATACACAATTCTACTGAATCATAGTAAAAGTTAATTCAGCAATGATGGAAAGCTATTAAAAAGTTCTATAATAGTACAATTTTGTGGGTTTTATTTTTTATATTTCTATGGTTTGTGTGAACAACCATTACTAAGTTTACAGTGGATGTGTTTGTATTTATTTATATTTTCTAGTAGCTTTTATTTATAACATTTGTTTTTCAGTTAGTAGCTGTACACTTATTTCTAGACATTTTGCCATTTCTGGATTTTATATTTATCGAGGCTATGAAAATTTAAAATAGTGGACAAACACTTGTGAATTTGCTGTTAATTATTGTTTGTAAATATGTATTTTATAATATAGAATGCTTGGAAAATTTCTTTCCAGAGTATTCTAGTTTAAGACTTTTTTTTTAAATATGTGAATTTTCTTTTAAGTATGTTGTTTGTTACAACTGTTAAAACTACCTAAATTTTAGATGTTAATTGTATTTCAGTAAATGTTATTTTTGTACTTCATAGTCTGAAAATACTGAGCATATTCAGTACATGAAGATATTCAGAAATTAAAATCTTAAAACTCTTAAGTGTATTCATTCAGTGGTTTGTTGTGCATATGTTGAACAGTTAATTCAATTAAAAAAGCTTTGAAGAGAAATAGAAAATAGGAGTGAGACCTTGCATCTTAAGGTCAAGAAGAGAGCCTGTAGAAACTTGATAGTCACACCAAAGCCACAGCAGACTGCTTCTTTTGAAGAGATGGACATTAGGGGTCACTCTTATATAGGCGCAGCAGTATCATATTCCAGAAGCGTCAGAGAACACTCTGTCTTTGCTCCAATACCTGCAGTGAGCTCTTTGCAATTTTCACTTCGGATACAGCCTTACAGCTGTAATTTAAAAGAATATGGGTCATTTCTGAGGCATCGTATGGCGGAAATGCTTGTCCTCCCTCAGATCTTTTGCGCTTTCTCGTCCCCGTCTGGTGCACTGTTTGCTCAAGTCTCTACCACTCATCACATCCTCAGATCCTATTACCTGCGACATCCACCTGCCCACCAGCCTTGCTTTTACCAGCCTTGCTTTTACTCTTCTTCATTGTACTTAGCACCCCGCAAGGCCGAGATACCTGTCATCTAGAAAATGCCACAAGAAAAATGTAATACTTTTTATCTAGTAATTATAAAACCTGTTAGAATAAAGACCTATAAGATACAGTAGAGTTATAAACATTTTATTTGCTTTTATTTTTTTCTTTGAAATACAAAATGTGCACATTGAGTTTCCACAAACACGTGATGGCGAGTTTCAGTGTACATGTATTGTACTACTTTTTCTACACTGGTGATAGCAGGGCAGCTTTCAACATCCTATCTCTACACCAGAATAGATACCTGATTTATTGTTGCAAAGACAGTTTCAAGTTTCCCCCTACTGTAGCCTCTTAATCCGTGACATTTCTGCAAAATAGGGAAGGTGAGTGTATCTTTAGTAATGTAGCAACTTTACAATTTTGGTTTGAGAGCATTAAAAAGAATCTGACTTATTGGAGTTTTATGATAAGCGAAATCATAATGCAATCAGATGAGTTGCATATTTTTATTTGTTTTCTACTAGATTTGGGGATTAGAGTTCTTGATATAATGGAATCACTGGTGCTTTCAGAGTGACTTCTGTTTGCTGTTTGTTCCCAGCAGGCATTGGGGTCATCAAGGTCTCTTTGTCCCTGCCTGGCAAAGATGCTGTGAGCGGCCCAGGGGAAGGGGATGGAACAGGCCTTCAGTGATGTTAAACTTACTTTTTTTAAATCATTACTAGGTACTGGAGGATAGAACCTGACCCTTCGCATATGCCTATAAACAGGCTCACTCTATTTCACACCTTCTTGGAGTTCTGCTTAAAGACACGTTAGAAAATAGTCAACCTGCAGGATTGAACAAATTCAAAATTATATACATCATGTAGGCCTTGGCTGTAATGTGTGTGTGTGTGTGTGTATATGAAAATTAAGAAATGCTTATTAAATAAGCTTTATTAGGCATATGCTGATATCTGGTGATAAACTAATTTGTTTCATATTATAAAAAAAAAGCCAAGTGAATGTCTTTAACAGAAGGCATCAGATCCGTAGAAACTGACCGGGACTGTGTGTGTGTTTTTAAATTGTGGTAATCTTGTTAACTTAAAGTATATAAATGGAATCAGCATACAAACACGAAAATTAATTTCCGGAAATTAAATGCAAATGCCAGTGTTTTAGAAAACCATTTAAAATCCTTGGGCTGAATACATACAAATGAGTAGCAAAAAACATATTTTAAAATCACGGATAATGTGAAAGCCTCAATAATCCCATGGCTAAAGAATCAATAAAACTATATGTCAGATTCTATTAATTTTGAATATTCACAGGGTGTGAAATGACTTAGACCATTGGTGGCATTATGAAAAGGATGCAGATTTATAACTGGAATACTCGAAATCTGGAGGGGATTGCTTCTCATTAAAACAAAGCTTGTTTGCATAATGTGCCTCAGTGTAAAGCTGAGCAATCTATGCTAAAAGTGGTAGCTCCAACTGTAAGTGGTAGAATAGTTCACATTTGTCTGATTGAGGACATATTCACAAGTTAAATCACATTTTCGAAGAGCTGCATGGATCGCATTATGTTTTCATCCTGTAAGGGAGAAACAGTGGGATTAAATTCAGAGTATCTGCAGAGGAAAGCAGAGTAAACCCTCACTTCACGTTGTCAATAGGTTCTGTGACTTTAAATGAAATGACGTGTAATGAAACCAGTTTTACCATAAATTGACTGATGTAAACGAGCTAAATTCCCATGGTATCTCATCAGTGTTACAATGAAGCGATGCTGAGTGGACAACAATGAATGTATCGACCTTATTCAAGGACCTGCTGCACACTGTTTTCCCTCTAAGTTCTGCCTCCCCACCAACCACCGATGCCAAAAGCTCAAATGCTGTTGCAACTGTAAACAGCATTCTTTGCATGTTCCACACAGACAACTGTGGAGAGCCCATTTTATGTTGAGTCTATCAGGCTTTAAACACCTCCATTGAATCTTGGTGTTAACAGAGGATATTTCTCAAATCAGAATGCCAGAATGGAAACTCGAGAACTGAAGAAGGGAAGACAAAATGAGCAAACGCAAATTTTGGCACTCTAGGTGGATCTTGGGCCAAATCACAGAGATTTATATGGGTAGAAGGAAACTGTGAGCTAAGAGCCAACTTTGTGAGGATTGGAGGTTGGGGCTTTGGTACACATGTGCAATAATTACACCTCTTTCTGGATATGTTAGGGCTAAATCTGTGTGGCCTTCAGGAGCCTTTAAAAATGAATGGTCTCCCAGCTCGAGAGAAAGAATTGTTTGGGAAAAACCATTGCCCAGTGGCTGTGTTCAGTTTAGCATATTCCGTAAAATCCTAAGGGGACAGACTTTGGGTATTGATAAAGGCACTTGGAGATTCTATGAGGATGGCAATCGCTGAGCTTTCTCTGGTAATGCTACCCCGCAGCTGAACTAGTGATGACTTCAACTCGAAGCCAGGTAGCCACGTCACCATTCAACAGGTTGATGTCATCAAATTAATTCTCTCAAAGACCACCAAGTCCAAATATGAGTTTAGAAACAAGCAGACATTAGGAAAGGAACAGTAAAACAATTCGAAAATAAAGAGAAAAGAAAGCTCCAACAAACGCCTTTGTTTCTATATTTTAAAATTCTTAATCATGGTTCTACCCACATCAAGTCAAATAATTCTAGCTAAGCTAGGACTGGTCTCCCACCAGATGACAGGGAACCACTGGATTTCTCCTCTGAGAAATTTCTGAAGAGTCACAATGGCGTAATTACTCAGTTGTTGTGACTGAAGACCATTACTGCTTCGGCCCAAAAGCCATTTCCTGTCCACATACATTAAAGCAATTCTGTTTCTCTTAGAAAGCTTGGCCTGCGAAGCATACTTAGCTGTACTAAAATTCTAAATCTGTGGAGATACGATGGACAATATACATGTTATAAGCTAAGTCTAGGCAAAGAGTAATTTAAATCTCATGTTTAATCCTCAATGATGAATACTCTCCAAATGTCTAAAGGATTTAGAGGACAAAAATGCAGTCCATGTGCCACATTTGTGTCTCTAAGACTTCCTACATAGCCTGTAGGCACTCTGTAAGTTCTGAGGAATTGAACATATACATCGGTGGTAGTTTTCAGAGCAATGGGCTTAGCTTATTTTGGTTGTGTAAAATGGCAAACATAGGCCTATGATCTTTAGATTTTGCTCGCTTCATGTTGGGTAGCTGGTCATACTCAGTCCAGCTGCTGTGAAAGCAAAAACGATGGTTCTTTTATTCTCTTTACTTACTTTTTGGCAACTTTCGATGAACTCATCTATAGTAACGACTCCATCTTTATTTTTGTCCATTTTCTGTTCAAGAAGGAAAGAATAAAAAACTTTATCAGACTTACCCCTTGATCCCCTCACACCTGAACCAAGTAAGCTGAAGTTGATGGAAAGGAAGGCCACTGCTTATTTAATGGGAAGAACGGCTTCAGAGCATGAACTAGTAACTTCTTAGTTATAAGAATCACATGGCTGACTCCTCATAGGCTCCTTCCTTTTCTAGAATGTGGGGAAGATCTAGTCACTGACCTAGGTAAAATCCTGCCCTCTAGCTATGTCATAGCCAGGAAATTGGTCATAACTTTCAGAACCTTGGTTTTCTCATCTGTAAAATGGGGCTAATGAGGATTAATAACCTCATAACGTTTATGTGAGAATTGAATGCAAACAAACAACTGTATAAAACATGGCAATTGCTTAGTGTTCTATTTAGGATATCGCGAATGTTCAACAAATGTAAGTTATCAGTATGGTAATAAATTCAAAACCAAAATTAAATTGGTAAGATGGTGAATAGTCTCTTGCAGTTTGTCCCTTTCAGGAAAAATTATTTTTCTTTGTATTTTTTTTGAATCTTCATGACATTTTGCAAACTCCAGGAAATGTCCTCTTAATTTTATTCCCCCGTCTGACTTCTGCTTGCATTCCTACCTGGAAAAACGTTTCCACGTGTTGTCTGGGAGCATCTTCTTTAAGGACAGGATATGTGCATTTGCCCATCATGTCATATATTGCTTTCATTATGTCGAGCATTTCCTGAAAAGCGTAAGGCACCCATGTGAGACTACATGCAATGTGCGGAGAAACCACTCTGAGAAGTTTTGACATTATTCCTACTCAGTTTTCAACTTCTAATCTTTCCTCGATGCTTCATTAAAAGTCATTTGGTTGTCCCAGAGGGAAAGTCAATGGCTTTGTACTTTAAAAGTAGAACCAGAATGTAAAAATCATTTCTGATCTGAAATATTGGAAATATTTCATATTTCCAAAATGAAATAAATTTCCACATATCTAATATGCCTTTCCACAATCGGAAAGGCATATTCTGGTTTCATGTTTGGATTTCAATAGATTCGACATAGGCTATCTTTGTTTTGTTCAAGTATTATATATCTTACATGTTGATTATCAATTTCTATTTATTGAGACTAAAACACATCATGAGAATTATACAAAAACCAATAAGTGTCAAAGCTCATTAGGATTTTCATTTTTTTTTTTCTACTATGGCTTTAATTGAAGAAGTAACACATGTAGGATAGTCAAAATATTATGACTCTAGGAAACAGTTTGAAATTTCATTTTTTTATGAAAACAATCTAGTTTTTGACTTGTCATTTTTGATCTTGGTAAAAATAATATCTCAGTATTTAAATGTTCAGATTTATTGTTTCACATTTGTTTCATATTGAAGCTTCCACATAAAAGTGTCTGGATTAAATTGATAATACAGACTTTTGAGAGCATTCAACTCTATTATAAATGATAAACTAGTTTGTAGTTCATAAGTCATAGGTGAACCTTTTAAATATGTTTTGGGTTTAGATAAGTAGCCAAAAGATCGCTTGCCATAGGCAGAATTCATGAGATGTATTACCTATAAGCAGTAAAAAAAGCATGTTTGTATTAAACACAGAAAGAGATAGAGATCGAAGGACCAAGGGACACCTAACAACCCTGAGGCATCTGAGTACTAAATGCATATTGTATACCAAATATAAAAGGGGCACTAACCATTTAGGAAGTGCCCCTTAATATACATGAACACTTAATATTCGTGAGATCTTAATTCAGCCACTTGTTGATGAGAAATATTCTGGCCCCATGTGTCCTCTGTTCAAGAAACATAAATAAAACCCACGGCTGTTGTTTAGGCTAATTGTTAGACTATGGCTGTGGTCAGGTGCACTTGCCTCTTTGTCCCCAGTAAAGCAAGTTCATGTCATTGGCCCACGATACCTTTTGTGTGAGGGAATTCTTGCTCAGAACTCACCTCTGGGTTAAGCTGGTGAGGCAGAACACAAGAACAGGACACAAGAACATTGAGGCCTCTCAGGATTCAGGATTCAGGATTCAGGTGATGTGGTCCTTCAGCCTCACTTGCATCCTACCCTAAATCCGTTAACTTACTTCACCCCTTCTCCTTTACTTTTCATTGTGTTTTAAATTGGTTTCACAAATCTCTTGACATGAGCATCTTAATTTGATCTGTGAGACTTCTTCCTTGAATAGCTAGCCTGGAAGTATTTGGGGGGACCTACCATTCCATCAAGTCATTTCCCACACAATACAGGTCATCACACAATCTATATGATGTCAAAATTCTATCTGTTTCCATATGGACCACATTAGATGGAGGAAAAAGGGTCACAGGCCAAATATGCTAACATGGTTTGGATACATTTTCTTCCTATCAGATTCCAACCACATACTTGATTCCATTGGCATTTATTAAAATATCAATAAACAAGGGTATAATCTTTACATGTTTTACATTTACTTCATAGATTCACCATAAACTCCTATCTCTTCAGATTTTTTATTAGACTATTTCTCCACCACCACATAAAATATTTTAGATTTCATAAAAAGGCAATTTTCAAATTAATAATTGCAATTGTTTAACATTTCGAAGTTAAAAAAGAAAACGGGCCAAATGATACCTGCATTGTTAAAGCATTTCTTACCTCTTTAGTAATGTAGCCGTCTTTATTTATGTCATACAAATTAAATGCCCAGTTGAGTTTTTCTTGTACTGTCCCCCGGAGCAAAATGGAAAGACCCTTGATGAAATCCTAGAAAGAAATAAAATTACAATTTGACATGACAGTGCTAAAAAAGTAAAACACAAATTCCGTTAAAGTTCTCCCTTAAATACTGGAAGTGAAACTCTCTGATATTGAGCCATTTAGCAAAACGATCAATGTGTTCTTGGTCCCTGGTTTTGCAGAGTTCTTTGTGAGCATAAACCCCTCATTCGCTTTAATGTTCTCACCTTCTGATTGGAAACCAAGACTTAAATCGATTGTGGAATTGGAGATTGTATCAGAATAGACACCCACAAACAGTAAGGTGCGTGCTATAAGTGGTACTGACTTTCCACAAGTACACACAATTCTTTGACTGAAAAGAATCAAATAACTGTGTCTTTTAAAATGCAGATGCACATAACACACTGCCCATGAAAAAGATTCGTTTACAAGACACAAGGGCTGTCCTTAATTAAGACGTGAGCCGACCGTAACCTTTACTTACAAAGCAAAGTATAACATGCATGTGCGCAATGATGAAGAGCATGGAGCTGGAAGCAAGACTGCTTGAATCCAGATTCCAGCCATGTCACTTGATAGCTTTGTGTCCTCAGACAACACCCTTTTACCTCATTTTTCATATCGGTAAAATGGAAATTATAGCATCTACTTCTTACAGCCAAACAACACAGGTGGCCTCTAAAAGCCGGAAAATGCAAGGAAGCATATTCGCTCTTCAGATCCCCTGGAGGGAGCGTAGCTGGGCCTCTATCTGGATTTCAGTCCAGTGAAACCCATTTTAGATCTCTGCCCCCAGAACTGTAAGATAATAAATACGTATTATTTTAAACCACTAAGTTTGTGGTAATTTGTTATAGCAGCAATAGGAAACCAATACACTCAGTGACGAAAATGACTTGGACAAGGGAAAAGTAAGTAGGAAGACTCATCAACAAGGGGTTGTCAATTTTGCCAAAGTTGATCTGTAAATTTACATATTCTCGTTAATCTTTTTAAGGTTGTTGATTTTCTCTGGTATGGCCTCCATAGTGATTGAGTTAAGTATTTGAAAGATACAATTTCAGATACTAAGTAAAGTTTGTATTTGTTTGGAACTAATAAAAGGTATCAACGTGTCTAAAAAACAATAACTATATTTTCCAAGATTTGTAGCTTGATTTTATCATGTTGAAGAGATAATGTACTTACCTTGATTGATACATACTACTGTCTATTTAGGTAATTTAGTGTCTTGATAGGTAATTATAGCTACATTAAATTAAATTAGAAGAAAGTTCTTTGTTTTGATTTCACTGGAGGCCATTAAAATTTAAAGAAATTTTAAACAAGATCATAACTACAAACATATAATAAATACACATGTAAATATAATGCTTGATTCATGTAAATACAGAAAATGGTACTGAAAGAAATTGCAACCATATTTAATCCTATCACCTATTCACATTGAACATTTTCATTCTTTTTTTCATGCATACCTTAGCACACGTTTATAGTAAAGGCTATATGGTGTATATGTGATTCTTTATCATTCATTTAAAATTATAAGTATTTTATCACATTACTAAAAATGTAACATCATTTAAATAACTACATATTAGGTTGAACCATATGGAATTGCTGATCTTTCTGATTGTTTGCATCAAAATAGTAATTTCATATGGTCTGATGTTATCACAGTGGCTTTCACACATTTTGGACCCCAAGTCACACTAAGAATTACATTGTAAATGGATGACTCTATTTCCACTTTTCTTCTATTAATTTTTAACAAAATTTTGTCACTAATCTCTTAATTTATTTTACTACCTACCAATGGTCACAATCTGGAGTCTGAAATGCTGCTTTGTCACACAAATCCACTGTAATTTATTTACTCATATTTCCTATTGTTGGATATGTAAATTAATTTATTTAAATTTTTCTTCATTATAAGGGATGATGTGGTAAACATTTTTCTTGATTTCCCATTATTTTGACTTATTTCATCAGGAAAAAAGTGGCATTCTTGGGTTAAAGAGCCCCGGGAACACTGAAATTTAATAGTAATAGTGACAATAGTTTTTTGATATGGGTGGGATATATCCAGGTTTCCACGCATTGGTTCATGTCAGCCTCACACAATCGCAGGGAACACGTATTGTTGTCTTTATATTATAGACAGAAACTCAGAGAAAATATGTGACTAAGCTAAGGCATTCAGCCCCTGAGCAGTGAAGCCCGAAATTGAACTCAGACCTCTGACTCAAAGCCCAGGCTCTGATTTTGACTAGAAATGAAGCAATGGGCTGTGGTATATACACCAGTATTATACAAACGTATATCGTATCTTTCTTTTTGGTACTGTAAACTCTGATAGGAAATAGTGATTCATGGTGCCTGCAATTCAATTACTTACTGACAACATTTGTAGAACATTTGGAGGTGCCAGGAATTCATAATTTCTGCAATAAAATTACTACATAAATGAGTTAGAAAATTGTCTTAGCTTCTAAAAAGAGAAAGTGAGTCAGTATGTGAATATATATGTGAATATAAAAGCTATAGGAAGGTAAGATCAAGTAAAGAAGAATCCCAACAGTCATGTGTCCAGGAACACTGAAAGACACACACACACACACACACACACACACACTGAAAATAATACTGAAGAGGCAGATACAAGGTCATGGTTGAGAGTTTGAGTTTTATTTGTGCAGCCAAGAATTGTGACAATAATCAGTGATATTTCTGGATGGCATGGATTTCTAAGTGGTAATTGTAAAAGCTGGCGATAATATTCAGTAAATAAATTATAGAACGTCGTCTTAGACATTATTTAGCGAACATGGAGGCTCAGTCTCTCCCTCAGTAGGAGGTAGTCTGTTATGATGGTTAAAAAAAGGGATTGTAAATCTATGGTCTATGGGCCAAATATGGTCCACCACCTATTTTGTAAATAAAATTCTATGGAATACAGCTATACCCATTTATTTAGAATTTGTCTGTGGTGGGTTTTGTGCTACAACAGCAAAATTGGGTAGATACAAGAAAGACTATGTTTTGCAAAGTGAAAAATATTTGCTATCTGGCTCTTAACAGAAAAGTTTGCTGAGCCCTCATTAAAACCATGGGTTTTAGAGACTTAGGCAGAGCTGGGGTTCAATCTTGGTTCTGCCATTTACTAACTAGAAGACTCTGGATGAGTCACTTAACCTCCTTAAGTTTTGGGCTCTTCATCAGTTACATGTGGCTAGTAATAAAGGTCCTTCACTTTTTATCTGCAATGCATCACCTCCCCCCGCCCAAATGTTTTTGTAAACTAAACAAACACTC